CATTTGTACCAATAAAAATGGTAAAAGTGGAACTTTACCCTGACGGAAACAAGTAATTTTTTTTAAATCAACTATTTGAAAGACTACTTTAAAACAAATGCAAAGAGTAAATGTTTCGATTTTTGATACTATTTTTACTCAAAAAAACAATTTGTGTCTTGGAAGTATGAAAAACCATCTGTGAATTCAAAAGAAACACACTGACTTTAAAGTTGTGTAAACCAAATTCATTTTAAAGTAGTTGAATTTAAATGCAGGATAGGACAGTCGACTTGCTGCTTGCACACGATTCAAACTGAACATTTGAAAGCACATTTACATGTCTGGCTGTAGCTGAGCGTGCAAAGATGTTTGCCACAATTGCTAAAATGTCCATGCTTAAATCTCATTTAATTTTTAATTTCGGTTTTTCTTAGTTATGAAAAAGCATCTGTGAAGTGCAGAACGAAAGCGTATTCAAACGAAACATACTGACTGTGAAGTTGGTTAAGCCAAATTCATTTTAAAGTAGTTGAAAATACATGCAGGAAAGGGCAATTGACTGCTTCCTAGGACATCGCCATGTTAAATAAATAAGTTCTTTGCAGGTAAAGTAGTGAGAACTTAAATTAGTTATCATTGAAAATAAAGTATTTTATAAATTACTTTCAAACTAATTCAATTTTCTGCAGGGTAGTTTCTCAAATCATAGTCTTCTTTTATTCAATGTAACTTTTTTCATTTGGTGGCACACTTTATATGTATAATAATACATTCGTTCGTTTTTGCAAGAACATTTGGCAAGAACATGATGTATGTATATTAGACTGCATCACTCCCCATACAAAAAAAATCGGTACTGTTTTTCCATTGGAATTATAAAATCTATTATATTTTAAGACGTTCACCAAAATATTTCGGAAAAATATTAAGATTTAAGCGAGCTGGGACGATTTGAGAATACCTCCAAAAATGGAGTTTTTTATGAATAAAAATAGTTTATTTAAGATGTTTTTTGAAAAAATTCCCTCAAATGACAAAACGGTTTAAGCTTAAAAAATTTACATAAAAATATTAAAAAAAAAATTTGAACGGAGTTGTAATAATAATATTTTTGATGGTGGTGATGAAAGAGAAAGGAAAAGAACATCATTCAAAGTTGAATTAAGATGTGTTGGTATTTAAAAAAAAAAAAAATTGGGACACGAATGACTTTTTGCACATAAATAATAGTGGGAAAATACTTTTCTACCGAGATCCCATAAGTCTAAATCAGAATACTTATTTTGACAGGGCCAAATTCCTTGCAATTTTGTGTGCTGGGTATGAGCTAGTAGTTGTTGTCTCTTAAGCAAAACTCTAGTATCATCTGGAAATAATTTTTTGCAATGTTGGTGTAGTTTTCCAATGTTTTCCATTTTTTTTCATAATAATTTGTATGGCGAACTGCGTCGGGATATTCGTAAATAATGAAATTACATCAAAAGATACTAGAATTTCACCTGCTTCTACTGTGAAATCTTGGAGATTTTCTTTTAATTGATACGAGTTTTTTATATTGTATGTATCTGATGTGATATTTCTTAGAATATTATATATATATATATTCTATATATATTTCCCATAAATTTTGAAAGTTTGTAACAGGGAATATTTGTGGATGACGATATTGGTCGGAGAGGTGTGTTGGGCTTGTGGATGACCCAGAGTCTACGGCCTCCCCCGTAGAGTCTGGGTCATTTGCCGCTGCACATGTCAACCGTAGCTTTTCCTTTAGGTTAATTTTCTTCTGTTTGTATAAATTATTTATGATCGCATTGTTTCTTCTCATTAACTTCTGGGTGGGATCATTTCTTATGGCTCTGTATGTGGTTTAATCATTCAGCAATTCCATCATTTTGCAATCATAATCAGTCTTGTACATCATTACTGTTTTGTTACCTTTATCTGCCTAGTTTTGGCCCAGTTATTTAAGGTTTTCATAAATCAATTTTTGAAAAAAGTAGAAAAAACAGCATCAAAAATCTCATTATTACGATTCCGTTGAAAAGATTTTTAAATATTTTTTTGAGCCTAATCTGTTTTGTCATCTGAGGGGACTTTTTTCAAAAAAGTTCTTTAAGAAACTACTTGAACTTTTTGAACTTGCCTCGCACATTTCTAGAAGATTCTTAGATTGAAAACGGATTGCGGAGCAAATGCTGTTAACAAAGGGATATTTTGCCGAAATTCGCAATAAAATCTGCGTTTTGCTAATTTTTGTCCTCCAATTGTTGCGCCCAATTCTAGGAGTTTTTCGCCCTAAAGAAAAATTCTGCCATACAATAAAATTTACATTTTTGCCAAAAAACGTTTTTTAACACCTTGCTAAATATGTATATCTCAGTCTGTTTTCGAAAACAAATTTTAAAAAATATTCTACTCTCACAAGATAAAACTCGTCATAAAAAATTTTTTTAATATACATAGTTCTTGGAAGCCCTTTATTTTTTTGGAACGTGTTTTTTATACACAATTAAACAAAGATCACGATGGTTTAAATTTAAATCCTTAATTTACTGGTCTTCACTATGCAAATCATCTTCAAAAAGTTCAACTATTTACATCCAAGATAGCTAGAAAACGACGTTAAGATGGATGGGTCGATTACGGATAACAACGCAACCACGGTTCGGTTGCCAGCTGGCAACGCAACTGAAAGGAAAATTTGTATTACGAATGGCAACTATCGTCAGTTGCTGTAGAGTTATCGATAATCGAAATTTGACAGTTCGGCAACCAGCAAGTGGTTGTAATCAAGCAGTGCTAGTAAAATGAAATTATTAAAATATAGAGTTGTAAAGAAAAATCTGCAATAATGCTAGGTTCAGTAAAATTATTTCTTTTTATCAGGAAGAGAAGACCACGACCGCGCCTCAATCAATCGACAGAGCTCCCGGCTGCACTGTAAGCCAAAGTTAATGCTTTAAAGCTTTTTCTTTTATTATATTTCAAAAATTGTTATGAAAGTTGCTAAACATGCCGTATTTACCTAAAAGAAATTTTATTTTCAATTAAATTGGTACCTCACCTAATGCAAATGCATAAAAATTGTCGAAGTTAAGCAATTCAAGCAAAAATACGGTATTGCGTGTTTATGTGTGTTATGTATCCGACGTTCAGATTTTTTTAGCAGGGTGGTTAAGGAGCTCATCAATATTTACTTAAAATTGATATATATACCTATAATGGCTCTTAAGCAAAAATTTATTTTTCATACAATTTTTGGAAAAGGGGCGTGCCACCGCCCACTTATATGATATATGCGTATTTCAAAACTACTTAACCGATTTGACACTTTGTGCGCCTCCTTAAGCACCGTCTTGAAAATTTTTGAAGTCGCACAAAAACCGCGCTCTGCACCCACATAACGGTAATTTCAAAAGGTTCAAGGCTAGATATATTTTAGGTGGAGTAGGTTTTGTCCGATTACAAAAATATTCAAGACGGCGCTTAAGGATGCTAAGAACAAAGTGTATATCACATTTGGTCGCGATCGGTGTAGTAGTTTTTGAAATACAAATATATCATATAAGTGGGAGGTGCCACGCCCATATTCCTAAAATTGTATGAAAAATAAATTTTTTGCTTAAGAGCCATTGTCTATATCAATTCTGAGTAAATATTGATGAGCTCCTTGGCCACCCTGCTAAAAAAATCTGAACGTGCGGTACATAACACAATAATAGATTGGCGCTTAGATTGGCCGAGCTTCTCCTCCGATTTGTGGCGTGCGCCTTGATGTTGACACACAAAGCGGAGGGACCTACAGTTGCACGCCGTCTCCGAACGGCGATTGTATTTTGATGAGAAGCTATTTTTCATGGCAGAAATACACTCGGAGGTTTGCCATTGCCTGCCGAGGGACGACCGCTGTTAAGAAAAAACCTTTTTTTCTATATTTTTGCGATGTTGCTTTGACCAGGGTTTGAACCCAGGCGTTGCGGAGTGGAAGCGCGCACTGCTTACCACTACACCACAGCGGCCGACACGTGCGGTACATACACACATTTAAATTCTATACCGTATTTTTGTTTAAAATGCTTAACTTTGACAATTTTTATGCAATTGCATTAGGTGGGGTACCAATTAATTCCAAAATAAATGTTCTTTTAGGTACTACATGTTTAGCAACGTTCATAGAAATTTTTTTAATAAGCGATGGTCAAAGTTGTAAAAATCAAGAAAAATAGGGGCTTATTAAAATTTAACCGATGAAAACTTCTAACGTTAAATATAATAATATATTGTTGTACACAACTTTAAAGGTCTATAAATCCTCTTTTCAAAACATGTTCGGATTTTAAAATCGGATGAAAAATAGTCAAGCTGTTTATAGACAAGTACATCAAGTACGAACATAACGGTTGTTTTGAAATAAAAAATGGAGGTTCAGGTATTATACGGAACTTATTTTCATGTTGCACTCGACCATATCTACAACCTACACTAAGTTTTGTTTAGGGTCTATTTCATGAGTGTTTTTTGTGGCACCGCCTAATCGACCCAGAGGTCTCTGCGATGAGTATAGCCCGAGATATAACGATTTGAAAAAGTACATGATTGGCCAGAACCACGAAAAAATTCTAACTTTGACAGATCATATCTCTGAAGAAAAAAATCCTCGAATACGTGTTAGATAATTTCATGTATAGAAACCAGAAATTTGAAGCGAATCGGAGACATGACATCATTTTTTTACGAAATCAGTCCGACTTAAAAAAGAATGCCTCATATGTAAAATTTATATTACATTTTTTTTATACTCCCAGTAAAATAAAAAGTAGTTCTTCAGTTTTGGGATGCGTTCAAGATGGCTGATTTAGAGTGAGAAGTTGGCAATGTAGAACACCATCCATAATTGCATAATTCTTTATAAGAGGTTGGGGGAATACATATGTAAATTGTTTATAAAGGAGAAATTTAAAAGTAAGGAGCAATATCATACATATGTATGTATACAGAATTTAATGCAAACGAACCCGCCGTGTCCATGGCCGGTGTCTTGAATTAAGCTCGTCACTGACGATCCACTGTTAGGCGGCGTAGATTCATGTAAAGGTCTTATCAATATGGTGCTCGTCTGCAATAACGGAATATATAGAACTCGCTAACAAATATGCAGGTGGGAAGTTAAAGCTTAAGTTACTTGTGATGGTGGCGAATCAGGTGAAGAATCCCGGTTCTCGAATATGTTGACATCAGCTTCAATATTGCGTTGTAGACCGAAATTGGTGATTTCACTTATTTGGGAATAGTTGGTTGTTTGTCGGAACTGTTCTTGATATAAAATATCCTCAGCCATTTGACTTTCCATCGATTGGTCGTTAGTTGTAGCACACTCAAGGTTCAGAACCTCTTGGTCCGGCTGAGTGGAAGTAGTCGATGGCGGTGTGGGTGGCGTAGGCCGCGGCGAAGTTCCCTTGCATTGCATCTCTCTGCGACAATGTTCAGCGCGAGCAATTTCCGCCGCCAACCAAGATGGTAATTCTGGTAGCAGCCATGTCAACGCCGAGCGCAAGGCCAACATAATATGCTGTAAAATTAGGAACCAAAATAATAAATATAAATAAATAATCATCACTGAAAATGAGTTATACCTCCAGTGTGACAATTAAGATTATTGTTTGGGCGGTTGTGAGACCTGGCCACAGACGTGATATTTGACCCGATAATCCAATCAACGCACAATTCACTATAACAGCCGCCAGCGAGAGAATGCTAAATGCATTTTGCCATGTTCCAATGTTGGCCACTCGCTGCCCGAAGGGTCGCTGATGCACATGAGCCAACTTGAAAGCGTCTGAACGTATCTCCATTAAGTTATTAATGAGAGCACATATGCCAGCAAGTGGAAACGCGGCTGAAAAAAGTACCACGTAACCCATCTGCACAAGCATCTCCAAGTGATCAGAAAATGTTCCATCATACTGTAAAAAAAAGTTTAATAAATAGCCTAGCAAGATACTTACATATCGTTAACATAGTATGAAAACGATATGGAGTCCCCACATAATTCGATTAAATGCATATACAGTATATTTTGCTTAGCTGCACATTCTTCTTTGCACGAAAAACTTGCGCACTTAACCGAAAAAGGCACTTAAGCGAATTTTCTTTACTACTTCAATGAGGAAGGTATCCAAATACCTATGAAACCAAATAATAACTTACCACGTAGAAATTACTGCAAGAGAAATTTTTACCGAATAGTATCTAATTATCTATATAACTACATAAATTTATAGCCATTTTCGCTGTTCTGCGAGATGAACAAAATAAATAAAAAGTTGTAAAATTAGGTAATTGTAGGGCCAGTGAAGGTAAACGTAATACTTTCTTTGATAATTGATACTAGTCGCACAATTTTTAAGGCAGGTATCGCCAATGTGCAGGTATGCTAAATGCATCTATCGGAGCAGTTTCCTTATAAATGTTAAAAATAATGCCTCTGATGCGCATTTTGGGGTAGGTATCTTAAATGTGCACTTAAGCATAGAGGCAGCAAAGCAAAATATACTGTATATAACACTATGCGAAAAAATCAAACTTGCTGACTCGGTATTGAGTAAGACCAAATGCAAGTGATAGTTTTAGATGTCAGTAATACTACGTAGATGGCTTTTTTCGAGTTCAGCTCAAATAGGGAAGATATCCTTAATTTACTCCTTGCACACAATTTATTGTTTAATTAGGTTAAATTCTAGAAAATTATTCTTAGAAAATACCCATATAAGGGTTTTATGATACGAGGAATTCATTTATGAAGTTCTTTTATTATTAGTTTTGCGCCTGATGGCGCTGAAGTAAAATTTTATTGAATTTCCTTGTGAATTTTTCAAATAAATATTCAAATTAGAAGTCTTTATTAAATTCAGTCGTGATGTGATTTCAAACATCGCAATTACTATTTCTAACAGAAATTAAATTATTTATTGTATTTTGTTTCATTCTTTTGTCTACTTTTCCTTCGAACTTTCCATTGTTTCTTTTTATTTTGATTTTCAAAATCATCGTCATCATTGTCATGTGAAGAATTTACAACGTTATTGCTTGCATTTACGTCATCAGCTGTAGCCATTTTCCACCAACAATATCCGACAATAATGTTGATATTTTCTTTCACAAACCAAATTTGTTTAAATTAAAACACCAAATAAAGTGATAAACTGCTGTTATCGAAAACACGCGATTTTCATACTAAAACCTTTAGAATTCTCAAATAGCAAATTTACACTCTCAAGGGAAAATAATAAAATAATTATGAAGATGATTTTGATAATCGAAATAAAAAGCAAAGAAATAGGAAAGTTTGAAAAAATAGTAGACGAAAGAATAAAACACAATATAATAAATTAATTAATTTCTGTTTAAAATATTCATTGTGGTGTTAAAAATTGGTATTTGTAATACAAATAATGAAAATTTCTAATTTTAGTATTTATTTAAAAACACTCAATGAAATTCAATAAAATTGGCATACAGCGCCATATACACAGCAGCGCTAATAAAAAACAAACTTCAAAAATGAACTCCTAGTATCAAAAAACCCTTATATGAGAATTTTCTAAGAGTATTTTCCAAGAACTTAACCTAATTTAACAATAACTTGTGTGAAAGGATTCAATTAATGATATCTTCCATATTTGAGCAAAACTCGAAATAAATAAAATTAAAAACATACATACATACGTGTGCAGTGACACCCGGTAGAAGTGAAAAGTACGTAAAATTAAACAACGAGAGAAAGAGACTAATGCGTTTGTTTTTTATAATATTGATACGAAGTTGATAAGTTCTTATAATTTTTCGTTTTCAATTTTAAAATTTTTCATTTTATTGTTAAGATTCATGCTCAACTTTCTACAAAAGAGACAGTGGTGTATGGTAACTAAAATATGAAATAAATGCTTTTGTTGAGATGTGATCAATATATCTTTGAAAAAGAGTATTAATGATTGTTTTTGATCGTGTTGTCGATTCCGTGCGACTGCTGGACATTTTAAAAAGCTGAATCCAACGCATATTTCACATTAAAATCCCAACTTAAATCATAGGAATTTTATTGTAGACGTGAGCGCGTAAACTTTGGCAATTGAAGGTAAACAATGGCAATCCTTTTCTTGCATTATAAAATCATATAATACTTTTGAAACTGTTTCAGTTTGATTCAGATGTAGCCTTTGAAATTCAGCTTGCAACTCAATTGTGGATACTGTTGCTCTTCGACTATGATAGAATTTTCTATAATTTTTATTTTTTGAAACGAGATGTAGCCCTTGAATCGATGTTACTCATTATAATACGACATACTGTAGCTATTAAGCGTATACGATCTCACCGAACGACCTACTTGGGTCTTTTGAATCATTATCGCACACGCAGAGATCAGAGGAAGATTGTGCTTTTGAATTGATGCCGCAGCCTTTCTTCTGATTTTTTCTCCAGTTTTGGGAGAATCAGGGAATTCCATCCATAAACGAGCACACAATACACAAACTTTTATCAGCTACCTGCGAAAATCGTTGGACAATGGATGGAGGTGGATACTCTATGGAGTAATCCCTTTAAGAAGTTTTGTGCTACTCTGATGTAATGCAGAGCTGGAGTATATGGTCCTGCCCTAGGACATCGTAATGTTGATTGGAGCACATTATTCATATGCATTTTGGCTAACTTTGGGTACTCCTTGACCCTTAATGCCCTTTTACATACAACGTTGGCGTTCCGTTGGCGTTGGCATCGCTTTGACATCTGACTGTGAATACATGCACTTATATGAAAGTCTCCACATAACCAAAGTTGGGCAACGCCAACGCAAAAGCAGAACAGAAAGATGGCCAACTCTGAACTTTTCGCGTTCGTCGTTCGTCAGCTGTTCCAAATAACCAAAATTATGTGAACAAATTTTCCTTTTTAATCAACTACGGGGAAGAAATATAGTTTTTAATGCAATTGATATAAAATTTTTATTTATTTGCCGCTGGTATGTTAATTTAGTAACTAAATTATTCCCTGCTAAGCGTTCATTGTAGCAAGCACGGGCGTTACTCGCTGTCAAAGCGACGACAACGCCAACGCAACGCCAAAGTTGTATGTAAAGGGTCCTTTAGGGGTACTCTTTAGGCAAAGAACATAGTGACGCGCAGTGTTACCGCTGAAAGTTTTTCGAAAGTCGCAAAAAAAGTATCACAGCCGAAAATGGTGTTTCAAGTAATTCAAATTATTTTTATACCATGTATATAAAGACGTTCATTATTTTACCTCTCGAAACTTATTGTGGCATATTCATAGTCGAAATCTGTCAAAAAAGCTGCGCCTTACATTATACTCGACTTTATTTCATCTATGAGTATGCCGAATTATTTTTAATAAATTGATAATGGAGATAATTTTCTGCCAAAAAATAAAACCCTATTGATGAAGGATATACTAAAAATACGCAATATGCATATTTTGAATTTATTATGAAAAAAAATTGCAGTTAAAAAAGTATTTACATCAATATAACTCAAAAGCAACATTACTAGATAACAATTATTATAACAAAGTTTAGACTTTTAAGCTTATATATAAATTATAGCAGATTATTTGTTTGTACCGGGAGCTGCGAAAATGAATTTACACAAATAACTTGGGGAAATGCTAAGCTACAAATAATTGTTGCTATTTGTGGATATTTTTTTGGGCAAATTTTGACATAATAAAAATGATGAAATCAGTCAAAATCTTACCAGAGATGTAAATTTTAAGCGCCTTTGAAATGTAAATACTAAAAGCATTTTTAAATATGTAAGAAACAAATTAAATTTTAATAAAGAATTATCAAAATGTGTATATAGAATTTTTAATCAAAGAAAAAGGGCAAAAGCCGCATGATTTTTAAGAAAAGTTTCAAAATAAGCCTATTTCTAAGAAGTCGGTACCCTGACAGGCATCGATCTCCAAAAACTGTCAATTTTACACTTTAGTCGCACAACGGTAACACTGGTGACGCGACAAAGAGAGCGACAAGACATTTTCGGATAATAGCTACAAAAACAAACCTTTATTTTTCAATGTGGCAGAACATAGTGAAGCGAAAAGCGAAGAAAGCGACAAGGAGCATAGCAACGAAAACAAAAAAAATTGTTTTGGTTGCTTTCTGAGCTGACGGTTGCTACCAGCGTTCACGTTTTCAATTCGTTTAATTACCCAGAAAGAAATCTTAATTACCCACACATCTCCACAAATATTTTCAAATTCCACGCAAATTACCCACAAACAAAATAAATATTTTTATACCCGAGCGCATTTGTGCACAAGGGTATATTAATTTTGTTCACATAACGGTTGTTTGTAACAGCCAAAACGAATCGAGATAGATATAGACAAATGTATATATAAATGCTCAGAATGAATAGAGAAATCGATTAAGCCATGTCTGTCTGTCCATCCGTCTGTCCGTCTGTCCGTCCGTCCGCGTACACGATAACTCGAGCAAAAATTGAGATATCTCAACAAAATTTGGTATGTAGGTTTCTGTTAATCCAAGGTAGGTTGGTATTGAAAATGGGCGAAATCGGACTGTAACCACGCCCACTTCCCATATAACGGTAATTTCCAGAAATACGAAAACTGCGATATTTTAGTAACTACTGACGATTATTTACCCAAAATTGATATTTACGACAATTTTCAGACGAAAAATAAGAATATTATAAATTTTTGGAAAATGGGCGTAGCCACGCCCACTTATGGTTACATGTGTATATCTTGGTAACCGCTGCACCAATTTCTTCCAAACTTGGCACAGTTGTTGGCCTGGATACAGCATACTAAATGGCCGAAAACTTTAAACATCGGAGAATATCCACGCCCACATCCCATATAACGGTAATTTAGAGAAATACAAAATCTTCGATAAATCAGTAAATATTAAAGCTAACTT